TTGCTTCGAGCCGTTATACCCAAGTGATTGAAACCTGAAAGACAAGTAACCCAACCGGGGCAAGTGGGTAAACACACACACACACAGAACGAGGGATAGAAGAAACAAATCGATTGAGTGTAAATTGGTTGAAAGAAGTCAATGAACAAGCAACAGATATTGACTATCAAGTTTAGATTAACCCATTCGATTATTCAGAGGCACCAGGCACTGTTAATGGTCTGGAGTGTGGGTTTTACTCCTTGCAAGAACGTCAATTCCCCCCACGAGGTATATATATATATATATATATATATATATATGCTTGTAGACAAGCACGGTGCCAACGCAACAACAATAATAACAATAACCATAAAAGGGGACAGGAGTATTGGGGTACGGAGCAGAGTGAAAAGGGGGTGAAACAGTTAAACACGGGAAAATGGTAGATAGGTGGGATAAAAAATATTTTTGTGTTTCACCGNCAGACCGTACAGCATTTGCGCCACTGACTTCTATTCTGGGCCATATCTCTCAGCGTCTCTAACCAACGACAATTCTCATCCCTCGGGCCCCAACCTGGAAGGTGGGCTGCACCAACCGAAGCCAAAGCTGAAGCCAGCTTCTTCATGCCTATAGCCCATGTCATGGTCTGACCGCCGCGCTACTTCTTCCAGCCTTGCCCAGCATGTGCGAAGAGAGCACATAAAGGTAGTCGATGGACAGGCATACGCAATACGTGACCAAGCCATCGGAGGCGGTGTAGAGCGATTACGTCTGTTAGAGAACGACTATCCGCACCCAACACACAACGACGAAGCTCGTCATTGCCCATCCAGTGTTCCCACCAGACACGAGCAATGCTTCGGAGACATCGGTGGTCGAATACAGAAAGTTTATTAGCATCCTCAACGCGGAGGGGCCACGTCTCGCAACCGTAAAGCAGAAGGCTACGATCCGCGGCGATGTACACCCTACCCTTAAAGGACAGTCGGATGTCATGGCGGCGACGAGGTAAACGCATTGAAATGTTTCTGTATTTTCCCCGTATTTGGAGGTCATTTGTAAACACTCCTTTATGGAGAACTCACTGTCAAAAATGTGCCCTATCAGTGTTATTGTGAGCTTCGGTGGATGGCCGAGGATAATGTGCAGCCTTTTGGTGATACACAAGAACCTGAGGCTGCGTTTCCCGTGTGCGTGCTTTCAAACAGATTCAGAGGCGGGGGTAGGTTCTGCAGACCACGAATTAGGAACACCTGCATTTTTGCTTACTCAATGATAAACAAACTCGGAAGAATCAAATATAAGGAGAAAAGTCACAACAGAGATATTTATTTGCACTACACCCTATTCTGTTGCACGGTAGACGGCATGGACCCCCTAGTCACGCAGATCTGCTTGCTGTTCAGTAATGGAAACCGGGCCTACGAAACTTAGAGAGCGAACCACATAAGGCATCACACTAGGGACAGGTGGATACAGTCATGCAGAATGTTCAACAAAGCAAAAATGATACGGTGCAAAAGTGTTCCCATCGGACTCGACACAGTGTACTCAATCATCTGAGTGACGTCAAGCTTGAGCCGGTTCACACTTGTCTGAGGCCAGACTGTGTGCCGAGCAAACCGTGATACAGTAATCTTTATAAAAAGGAAAACGCTCCATGATTGGTTACTGGGCTGAATACTACCAGGTTGCCTAGGCCAAGGTAGGTGAATTTTCCTAGAGAATTCACAACCGGAGCCTTCGGATAACCAAAGCCCGACCCGCAAGACATCGGGGCGGTGTGCGAAAACCGCAATCCATTGGGGGCCGGTGTACAGTTCTCATCGGATCGTACGCCTTTCGGATAGGATCAAACGTCCAAGGTGCCCAATACACTTCGATGCCCATTTGAGCCGGTGACCGTTGCCACAACCAGAAAGGTGTGGGTGTGGTTTGGAATCAGGGTTTTGGCCAACTCCCCTAGGTGAACTGCCTGTGGTTCATCAACCCAGTTATAGCTCCGGATGTTGGCTATTTGTCCTCTCACCTTGGTGTGAAACACCACTGCAACACGAGAAGGCAGTGAGTAGGGTTTCCTCAGTGGTGCCTATTTGAGACGCTCGGTCTTATTGGGTGCATTTCGCGAGGTGCAAGGGAAGGGTGACCAGCCGCAACCCTAGGCAACCCCTCCCGACCGGTCTCATCATGACACTGGAATAAGCCTTCGCACTGCTCACCGAGGAACATGCAAGTCCGATATGTATCCCCAAACGATCATGAATGGAAAAATGGTCATCTTGATAAGAGATTAGTTTTCGATTTATAGCATATACGTGGTCCCGTAGTCTCTGTAGCAGTACGGGTGAAAAATTTCGGAACACCGAAACCGCTTACAGATCTAAACCATACAGTCACAAGACAAAACGCTGTGTGTACAATATGTGCATGATGCTTTGCACAGGACAGATGAGGTGATTTGGGTAACTTTTTAAAGAAGGGTCTTGATTGTGTAATCACTAGCAAACGATTTATCGACATGATTTCTGTTTATTGTGACACCACTTCTTCATGATTGACGGGGTCCAGTCGTGTGCTAAAACCGAGTAGTAGTCAGTAGTGATATTGTCGGGTTCGATGGAAACAATGCAATTGGACAATTGGGTACGTTTGATGATTGTATGATAGGGTTGCCCGAGATGAGGAGACTGAAGAGGCACGAGGGTAGGCAGCTTGTCATGTTAGCCTAAAAACTGCACATCAGGATGAACACTTACGGCGGG